TTCATGGCCAATAGACAAGGACACACCAGCGACAGACCTGGGAGACAAAAGAATAGAAATGCTACATGGCCAGCGGCAAAGAGCGGATGAACAGAAATGCTACATGACCAAGCAGTGCAGGCTGGGAGACAAACGAATAGAAATGCTACATGACCAGCAGAAAGGGGCGGACGCCAGCAGTGACAGACCTGGGAGACAAATGAATGGAAATGCTACATGGCCAGGAGAAAGGGGCGGACACCAGCAGTGACAGCAGACAAATGAATAGAAATGCTACATGGCCAGCAGAAAAGGGCGGACACCACCAGTGATAGACAGTGATAGGCCTGGGAGACAAATGAACAGAAATGCTGCATGGCCAACAGAAAAGGGCGGACATTAGCAGTGACAGACTTGGGAAACAAATGAATAGAAATGTTGCATCCCCAGCGGAAAAGGGTGGACACCGCAAGTGACAGACCTGGGAGACAAATGAATAGAAATGTTGCATCGCCAGCAGTGACAGACCTGGGAGACAAATGAAAAGAAATGCTACGCGACCAGCGGAAATGGGCGGACACCATCAGTGACAGACCTGGGAGACACATGAATAGAAATGCTGCATGGCCAGCGGAAAAGGGCGGGCACCAACAGTGACAGACCTGGGAGACGGATGAATAGAAATGTTACATGGCCAGTGGAAATGGGCGGACACCAGCAGTGACACAAAGGGCGGACACGTCTTAAGAAAGAATTGAGAACCCCTAACAGTAAACTGTTTGGGGAAAAAGTGGAAGACAAATGCAAGGAAGTGGGAGACAAGCCGCCCGGAAACCGGGCTACAAGCACCCAGCCTGGGAGACAAATGAAAAGAAGCGGGAGACAAATAAAAGGAAATGGGAGAAATGCAAGGAAGTGGGAGACAAGCCAGCCGGGAACCGGACCACAAGCACCCAGCCTGAGAGACAAATGAAAAGAAGTGGGAGACACATTCAAGGAAGTGGGAGACAAGCCGGCCGGGAACCCGACAAAAAATGAAAAGAACCGGGAGACAAATGAAAGCAAGTGGGAGACAAGCCGGCCGGGAACCCGACCACAAGCACCCAGCCTGGGAGACAAATGAAAAGAAGTGGGAGACAAATAAGAGGAAGTGGGAGACAACGCGGCCGGGAACCCGACCACAAGCAGAAAAGAAGTAAGAAACAAATGAAAGGAAGTGGGAGACAAGCCGGCCGGGAACCCGACCACCCAGCCTGGGAGACAAATGAAAAGAAGTGGGAGACAAATGAAAGGAAGTGGGAGACAAGCCGGCCGGGAACCCGACCACAAGCACCAGCCTGGGAGACAATGAAAAGAAGTTGGAGACAAATGAAAGGAAGTGGCCTGGGAGACAAATGAAAAGAACTGGGAGACAAATGAAAGGAAGTGGGAGACAAGCCAGCCGGGAACCCG